GTACAAGCATGCAATAGTTTACAGTAATTATGCAAAATTTTAAAAATAGAATTTCGTATTGTCACAAGACATTCCTTAAGTCGTACGAGTAATAATCTCGACGGTTAGAAAATAATAATATGGTCTTTACTATATTTTAAGTACGTATGTTAGTGATTCCAAAAATTAGATTTTGAATGACAGGTAAGCATAATACTTGTTAAATCACTCTGTATTTTAGTTATTTATTGATATTGAATACGGGACGAGCCCTATTACGTTGTTTTGCATTGAAAAATAATTACAAGATTATAATAATACATTATTAAATATTATGGTATTTAATATTATAGCATATAAAGCGCAATTTTTATTTTCGTACATTCATTATCACGTATTATGTATACTTACACTGTTGGCGTTTTTTCGTGGTAAACACACACACACACACACACACACACACACAAACACACACACATCATTGTAAAATCAATACATTCATCATTTCGTTCAGAATCTAAAAAAAGAACATTGTAAAATCAATACATTCATCACTTCGCTCAGAATCTAAAATAATAATAATATCTTTTTTCATAGAAAATTATTTCAACTGCAATAAAGTATTTATCTTCTTATCTTAATATAAAATGAGTTATTTGTGAAAATTTTATTTTATTCACACAAGTCACAAAGCTTTAACGGAGCTGCTAATAAGCATCAGGTATTAGGTATTAGGACTTTTAGTATTTTACTAAGAACTCTATACTTTAGGCGTGAATACAAATTCAGTTCCTCAGCATTTTTTCGATTTGTCTGAATTATAGTATACAATTACTATACATAATATCACTTGATTATAAATTTTCGTTTTCTTATGTTTTTGTGTAATATATTTCTTTTCATAGGTACGTATAGCTTTCCAATATTCCAAAAAAGACAACTAAGAATCACCTATCTCAATGCTCTACGGCCTGCATATAATCGTAACACGTTACGACTTACTCTATTCAATTAATCCATTGTGTTCTGTTATATTAGTCAAAATAATTTTAAATTTTAATATTAATCACGAAATATTTATGCATATATAATTATTCTGCCTGGTCACCACAACCATGAAGAAAATGGCCGATCTTGAGCTTTTCTTGAAGGCACTGAACTCTTCGTAACACTTTGGATAAATGTATAGTTGTCGTTTCCTTAGGTCTAGGATTTTCATTTGCTTTAATATCTGCCAGCAGATTCGATGACGAATTGAATACTTCTTCCGTGTTTACAAAAGCTGCCTAAAATAATGAATTGCTTGAGTGTCTATGTGTGTATTTTTTACATACACAATTTAACATTAAGTTCGTCAAAATTTGATTATGTTTTATTTATTTACTTCTTTGTACACATCAACGGCCTCTTCAACTTTGGATCTTAATGCGTTAAGTTCGTCTTCAGTGTAAAGTAATATTGGTATGAGGTTTTGATTTTGATCCCGAATATATTGTTCGTAGAGCTTGTTGTATTTTCTAATGACATGATTCGTATCAATATAAATTATTCAAAATATAAATGTAGGTACCTAATACCTAATTATTGTCGATTGAAGATGATTGAAACGCAAATGCATAAACAAAATTTTGGTGAAAACAAACATGTAATTGTAATGGATATTTCCAAGCTTGGAAGTTACAATGAAAATAATTTATACCTATCTATAAGTGGTAGGTAGTTAAAATTACCAATGTTAAAAACAAATGACTTGTACCTAGTAATTTATAACTTTAGGTGACTACTTAAAAAGCTTAGAAATATTATCATTTGGTTTGATTAGTTAGTTCAATTAGTTAATTAGGTAGTTGGTTAATTGATATGGGCATAATTTAAGTTAGAACTTAGAAAAATATACTAATAAGTTAGTTACTAAAAAGTGAATAATTAGGTATGTATATAATTACTCTGCTGTATACAATAGAAATTGAGTAGGAAGTTCCCTACTAGGAACACTGTTGTAATGGACATGTGAAATTTGAATTCTATATGATAAATCATTGTATCAGCTTATATTCCCTAGTAGATAATATCATATTGTAGTTAAATTTATATTATTTTTATAGTAATTAACGGAATAAACGTAGAACCAAACAACCAATAACCCAATTCGAATATTATTTTTTGTGAACAGTGGTTTCGCTTTCGCCATTGCGTGTATATGGTATATCATTGATTTACAACGCGTCTCAACCCTATACGCACTCTCACACACATACCCTTTCATTCAATTTTCCTGTTCATAGTTTTCATTTTACTTTTTGATTAACAGTTAATTAATTAATTTAATTTTTATAGTTGTTATTATAGTTTTAACCCCATTTGGCATATTGTTTTATTTATAATATTTCAAACTCTCCAATGGCCTCAACTACAGTAGCCATATTATTCGTTTCATGTTTCAAAACGGCAAGTTGCATTAAGTATTGTTACAAATATCTGTGCATTGTCTATAATAACAGTCTTTGTATGGACCAGGGTGATGTACTGGTATACATAATACGCATTATTATGTTATTGTGTAATACACAATAACACACAATGTGTATTCTTTAGTATTAATTATTCTGATTTTTTAAATTGATAAAAAAAACCCATAATGTTTATTTAGAACCATTTGTGGTGTATGTTGAGGGGAAGGGGGAAAAAAAAATAAGAGGGTAACCTAACCTACAGTAAGTTTAATGTAATGTATTCAATGATATAACTGTCAAGGTACACTTTAGACTCGACACCTACAGGTAGGTAGGCTATAACTGTACAACAGAGCGTATTTCGTTAATTTTTTTTCCAATAAATATTTAACTTAATAAATTCTGATATTTGTGAGCGATAACATTATTACGTTCGTAAAGTCATTGATTTTATAACAAATCAGTCAAATCCGATGACATTCGAGTCCAAAATTCCACAAAAACTAATTTTAAAACTTTCATTAATTTAAATAATTAAAATAACATTTAAAATGTTGCTTAGGATAGTAGTTCTGTTCCTAAAAAATTTCCTAACGATAAAATGATAATAATTTCTTTCCCTTCGGTTCGTAGCTTCGCACAAATAACGATAGTACTGTACCTACCTATATACATTTTTAAAGTACGGCATACTTCAAGTTTTTTCAAGAAACATTAACATATTTAAATACTGATTTTTATCATATAGTACAGACTAATTATTATATATCATACAGTAGTATTATAGACATTTACACTTTTTAGGAATTAAATTAATCCAAAAATATTCTTACTCGGTTATTGTTAGAAATTCGTTATTCATTGAAACTATAGTTAGTTTGAGCGCTTGCATGTGCCTTGATAATAATTCGTAGTATTGTACGACTTTTGCTTTAGTGTAAGGGTTTTGAGGAGGTTCAATTGAGTTTTGTTTACGTTTCAATTGCTTCATAAAAGGCGCCATTACTTTATGGTAACTTTCCATGAACCGATTTGGACAGGAACAAGAATTTTTTTGTAATTCGAACTAATTTAGAAGAATTTATCAATTATTATTTTGTTCAATTATTTACTAATCATATTGATATTATATTATTTATTAGCTTATTTATATAAATTAAGTTACATCAAAATGATTTTTATCAGCATCAGTTTGTTTCACTGCCCACGGGTTTGTATTTAAATTTTCATCCTTTTGGTTTGTAAATTTGTCTTCTGATATAGCTGGACATAAATGCACATCTGAAGATTGCTGTGATAATAAGCTAGTTCTGCTGTTTTTGTTCAATTTCGTTTCTACGATAAAGTTAGTAGATGAATTTATTGAACGGTCTAGATCATCATAACTTTGACCAGGGAATTGCTGCATTTTCATAATAATATTTATAAAAAAATAAAAATAATAATTATAATAATACATAATTATTCAAAATAATCATATTGTAACACTATCTTTGAGAAAAATTTACATTTCACACATTTTAAAAATTTGTTTTGATGTAATTTTAACAGATTGTTCTAGAATCGAAAATGAAAAATAATTTATTTGGACACCTTTACGAAATCGTTGAACGGGGTTAACAGCAGAAACCACAAAGTAACAATATTTTTAAAATATTTATGCCGGGCTACAAGAACAAACAATAGACATTTAATGAATAAATAGTGAACTAATGATTGCTTAAAATTTAATAATGATTAAAGACACATGATTGGTTTATTTAACTGTATTGAACAATTAAATTAATAATTTTTTCATGCAATCTTGCATTAGAGTTACATGAACTAATTTAYTATTTAGCAAGCCTTGGCATAAACGCGTTAAAAAGTTAAAAGTTAAGTTAATTTTAACTTTTAACTTAACTTTTTAAAATTTAATTTTCATAAACTTAATTTTTAACTTAACTTATTTGAATTGATATAAACTTATTAAATAACAAGTTACTTTTAATCAAATTCAAGTTAAGTTAATTTATAAATAATTAAATAATAAATATAATGAA